CAAATTTTAGACTTGCCGGTACTGTTAGTTTTTAATCAAGTAAAAAATGTAGACTGTTCTCAAAAATGATAGAATCATATGGCAGTTTTATCAGTAAAGAATACGAAATCAGGGACTTTGAAGCCTCAGAATTTCTACATCGCTGTAAGGCAGTCTTTTGACGAGCATTGCACCGGACAACGCTGAAAGCGTCAAATGTTCCTATTAAAAAGTACGTTTATTTTTGCTCCGCGTGACTTTCAATAATCGTGAGGAGATAGTTGCAAATGCTGAAAGTTAACTTTCAGTTATTGCGCGCTTTTTCACACCTAATTTGTTTTTTATTACATTTCTGCTTTTTTTGTTCTATTTCAATTTCAATAGCCGTATACAGTTTTCCTGAAGCTTTTCTGATGTAAACCTAAAAATTTCTTAGCTTTTTTCTGCAGTTAAATTAATATCGGTAAAAACAGGCAAAGGGATATCTTTAACTGTAGAAGCAGTTATGGTGCTTATCATTCTCTAATCATTATAAACAGCTGTTAGACACAAGAGTGTAAAAAAATCTGAGATCAACTTAAGCAAAAAAATTTGGAGTATCAATTTTAAACACACCATCAACGGATTGACTATTTGGTGCGGTTTTGCACAGGTACTAAAAAGCATCCAGGAGAGTTTTTGCTCTCTATCTCATCATTCTACAAAGGGCCAAAACAGCGTTTCAAAGAGCCTTTAAACTTAGGTCGTAGGTAAATAATTATCTTTCGAGCATTTATTGCTCTCTTAATAATTGCCGATTTTTGAGCATTTGAGTAAGTTTTTAAAAAACTAGCTATATAAGAAATTTCCCAGATTTTGTTTAAAAATTTGAAGAAATAACGAATCTTTTCTTTACAATACTAAGAGTTTTTTGCACTTGAAATTTTCTACTGTTGCTGCTGACTTTGATTTGTATACCAAATTCGTAACTGTGCGCTACTTTTTTTCAAAAATATAGCACTGTTCTGAGGACTTTGGTTGCCTATTTGAAATGCGCAACAGTGACGGAAATTTATGCGGCATTAGTAACCCGTCAAGTCTTAGCAACAAAAATGTTCATTTCCTAAACCACAAAATTTTTTAATATGCACTCTGTTTGTGATATTTCTGTTATTTCTATAGGTGAATAGCTGGAAACAAAATGTGCCAACGAAATTACTTCTATTACAGAACTGGACGATACCTGTAACTATGGCGCACAGTATCACATCTGCTTTGGTCAGTTTAGGTGATGATACAGCAGAAAGGCAGTGAACTCCTTTTGGTGTGGAAGATCAACATTGAAAAACCCATTATCCAACTGTAAGTGAGTGCTGATGACCTATTTTATGAATAACAACCAAAAAAACAACTGAAGACGAAATCAGTTAGTATTTATGTATTAAAATCTGTCTGTGGCCACAGTTTTTGACTTTCTATCGTTCAATGACAGTTAAATAAAGAACTTAATTTTATATTTCAGTTATTTTCTGCAACTTGTCCAACAGTCTTTAAACGCATACGTGAATCAGGGTAAATATAGAAGCCAAAAACTGATGTAAAAATTTTGCATCTATACATCCTTTTTATCTTTACGTTTTAAAAAATGGGAAAAAAAGTGAGATACATTTGACGCCAAAGAAATGATAATCAGGTTAAATTTGGCTAAAAAAAGTGTTACCAACGACAAATATTATATGGTTTTTTTTTGCAACATTTTACATTTTTTTACGTCGTTTTGTTGGCGTTATTGAGAAGAAAATTGCTGTGGATGGTGATGCTAAATTAGAAGAGAAGTTTTTTTTCTAAAGATACTTCGTTTGATGTATTCAACTGAAAATACCAACGCGTTAAGAATAGACGAAAGGTGACAAAAACCTGTTTGGTTGCTGCTGTCGCTGTTGCTTAATTCATTTGAGCGATGTTTTGGTTGCCTTCTTATAATTGACTGCTGCAGTTTTTTTTAATGAAGAAAAACTTTGACTCAGTTTTTTTCAAAATCTAACATTTGGTAATCGTTATTGTTGCTAAATTTTTCACTGCTATATTTGCAAAAAGATTTGTTCTGACACAAAGGCAGTCTTTTTCTGTAATTATTGAACTCCGATTTTTTCCTTCTTCCCTCTTTCCTTTTTTCTCAACCTAATAAAGAGCTAAACGCAGCTGTTATCATTTGATTTGATTATCTAACCGAATAAAAACTTGTAAAACGTCTTCAGTAGAGCCAAGTGTCTTGTTTAGTTTTTGTATCATCAAACGTTGGCATATTTGTTTTTTAGTTGCCCATTCACCACCCCAGTTGCAAAATAACCATTACAGTTTTAACAGTTATTTCAAACTACTTAGAACTTTCGTAACTTTTTGACTGTAATAAAATTTAGTGACGGTGATAGAAATTTCGCTAATTTTTAACTAACAATTATTCTATTAGAAGTGAAGTACGTTCTAACTGCCTATATTAAACTAATGCTAGAGGCAACAATGACCTAGAAGAATATCATGAAAAATGCTGGAAAATCAACATGTTTGATAAGATAAAACTTTCGGCTAATAAGCGTCTTTTGCTATATATTTCCAACTTGAATAGTATCCTTTTCGTGCAAAATCTTTTTCCAGAACAGATAAGTAATGCTAAGCCGTCGATCAAAACCCGAACCTACAACTTTTCCATTTCACCACCCGAACTGTTACTATACAGTATATTTAAACATCCATTATCTGATATTTCAGCATTCTCACGTTTTCCACTACGGACTATGACCTTCGTTTATTTGATACCATAAGTTTCAACAAATTGTGAGTTGACATATCTGTTATGGACGCTGCGACAAAAAGTCGCCCACTGATCTTAATAGCTGTGTTGTGAAAGCAGACTAATTTTTGATCTACTTGTTTTCAGGACTTCCTATTGTAATGACCATCCAATACAAGCATAAAATAAATACTGCATCGCCTTTAAATTTTTTCCGGTTGATCTTCAGGTGGCATGGAGGAGTCTGTAGGGCTACACTACAGGAGTTAATTAGTTGGCTAGTGCTCTATGAGATCATTGCACTTATATACCACTTTGTGCTGAACAACAACCAGCAAAGGTTCTGTAAACAACAATTATTTATTGTTCTAAGCTAATTATTTGTGGAAGCTATGGTGTCAAGCAATTGAGTAATAAAGTACTTTACGAATAAAAATGCAGAAAAAAGAGAAAAAGTAATAGTAATAAAAAAAGAAGAAGCAATCACATTTCTGGCAGTAAAAAACAACAAAAATGTTTTAGTCAGAACATTATGAAACGGTAAAGCATTGAACCGTATAAACGACCGGTAAATGAATAATAATTACAGATTTTTCTCTAAAGTAGCAGTAGCAGTTAACAAACGAATGAATTATGTTCCTCTGGAATTCATCCTTGGTTTTTTTGTCAATGCTGTTGTCAAGCGATGGAGCGATTGCGTTCATAATATGGGATATCTAGACGAGTAAAAGACTTTTATTGTTTTTTAATCATTTCCCTTCTATTAGTTTAAGTTAAAAAATGGTTCTTAACTGGTATATGACTGAAAAAAATTGATTTTTTTGATAAGAAAATGTGAAAAAAAAAGATTTAATTTTAAAACCACCAAATTCTTTCATTGCACTGTTGTTAAGTCAGGCAATCTACGTGGCACAGTGTATCGAGGGCGATGAAGAAAGGCCGAGAATGATACGACGAACGATAGTTCGTTACCTATGCTTGACTCAGGTGCTCGTATACCGAGATATTTGTGAGAGCGTTCGGAAAAGATTTCCGACATATGGGACTATCATAAGAGCAGGTGTAGTCAAATACTAAATGCTTTCGCAAACTTTTTTTCAGGTATTTATAACCAAAAAATAGATTTAGAATGCCTCTGCAAAACTTTCGTTCAAAATTGATATCTTATTTTCACATACACTTAAGAGCTTGTCAGACTAGACTAAGTGCTTTGAAACAGTACCCTGTTTGAAATCTGAAAGCAGTTTACCGTTCTTAGCTTCTGAAACGTGCTAAGAATTCTGTTAAGCCAAATTTTTTTGAATATACAATGTTATTACCTTGGTTATTAAAAGAAAGTCATAAGAATAGCTAATTTGATCAATTTTACATATCTCTTTTTCCATCGCAAAAGATTCCATGTCTTGAGACAAAAAACATCTATTTGTTGAATTAGTTAGTCTTCTATCATAATTTTTAAATTGCTTCTTATACTGCTGTATGGGATTTTAATAATAGCTGTAAATAACTGCACTTTTTTACAGCTTTTTGTTTTGAGAATTAGATGTGGAAAGAGAGGTTATGGAAAAGAATGCGACAGTGAAACAAGCAAGCAAAAATTGTAGAAAACCACACTCATTTGTTGGCATTTTTTTCATACTTAAACCTATTACAGAAGCAAATCTTTCTCAAAAAACTGATTGTTCGAGCAAAGCCTAAGCGTGGCTAAACAGTTGATAGAGTTTCCATATGAGATGAAACCCGCGTCAACAGGGTTTGCTTAAAAACAATTTTCTTTCTTGACCGGAAGAAATTTTCTCATCTTTCGCTTGACAGTTTCTCACTATTGAATTGTTTTAGCAAGCTGAGGACAACTTTCAATATGAGACTTAACTATCGTTTGCAGTAAACAAGAAGCTTTAAAAAAGTGCAGAAGACAGCAGTGGTTGAAATTTGAAAAAAATCTTTTTAATTAAAATTTCTAGATGAATAAAAGGATATAAAGCAGTAACAGCTTGTGCTTTTTAGGTTATTTGCTCAATGAAGAGAAAGAAAAGTTAGAGGATATGGATCAGCTAAAAAAATTTACAGCTGGGGACGATGACGGTAAATACTGGATGCCAGTCAACTGGGCATTTCAATTAGTAATAGAAGCCAGGCGTAGCGGTTATATTAAAACCGATATTTGGTGTTGCAAACTTTTAGAAGTAAAGAACCTTTTGACGTTATTCTTCTTTAAAGCCCATAACAAGCTGTGAATCATGTATATCTAAAGCGCAAACAAATGACAGTTATAGGAAATGCGCAAATTTCAAGCAAGTATGCAGAAACTGTGCAATTACGACTGGGTCCAAATACCATTAGCGTATCCTCAGGTTAGACAAAAGTGTTAAAGGACTCTCAGAAATTTAATCTAAAAATGGTCTATGAGAGGCTTGAAACTCTTTGGCTAAGACTCCCCGTCAAAAAAACTGAAAATTTAAATTTAGAAACCTCTAACACTACAACACTCCACTTTTCAAAATTGAATGTTTCAGTTTGTGTTTCTTGCCGTCCACACGTATTTTGCAATGTGCCTTCATGGAAGACAGTTTATGGAATTGAATAATAGAGAAAGAGTAGGTTACGTATTGTTGTCAAAATTTAAAAAATACAAGAATTTATCAAATCAGATTGCTGTAACTTCCAGTTTAAAAATGCCTAAGTCATTAACCGTATTACAGCAACATATACCGGTACCATTAATAACCCTGATGCAGTTCATATTCTACCTTGGTTGGATGAAAGTTGCTGCAGCCTTAATGAATCCGTTTGGTGAAGACATAGATGACCTGGAAGTCAACTTTTTGATTGATAAAAATTTCGCAGTGCGTGTTCAGGGCAAATTGTTTGTTCTACTATAGACTTCAATTCTTTCCTAAAAACTACTTTTAAACAAATTTGCAAGGAAGTGCTGGAAGAAATAAAAAAAATCAAACAAGTAGAAGAAACTTAATTTATGAAACCATATGCATAGCTCAGACTTCTACCTGTATCGTTGATGACGCCTTCGGTGACTTACCGGAACTACAACATGACCTGTTCTGGTCTCGTCCAGTAGAGCCTATATACTCGACTGACTCAATTTACCTGCCGTACAATCGTTTAGTTGGGTCGGCAATAGCATCACAAAGGTTGGTTGTTTTTCGACAGTCAGTCAAACACACAGTTTAATCACGTTATATAACACCCAATTACCTCACAATCACCAGTAAAAAGTATAGATTTAATGACCAAGATACCTGACTGAATTGGCAGTTTTTAAAAATTATTTTTGCTTTTCACTGACTTTTCGAAAAGTCAGATAAGTTAAGTAGTACAAAACTCAGCTTCAAAACCAAAAATTTTGTTACTACCGGTTTTATACTTAATGGTTCTTTTACTTAACTTAATTCAGCAGATTCGCTTCAAAAAACTTTCTTAAAACAGCTTAAATATTTTGTTCTACAGAATAACTAATTATTTTTTTTTCTTTTTAGAAGAAGTAAAACAGAAGTAACTGAACCTCGAATGGCAATCGTTCAAAGAGATTCCAGATACTGGGAACACCCAACTATATCTCCAGTCAAAGAAATACGATTTTAAGCAGTTATTCATTTGCTAATTAAAAAATTGTGACTTTTAAATACTTTTGATAAGTTTGAACAAATCAGAACTTTACTAAGAACTAAACAAAACCTTTACATCTACGGGAAGCAACAAAGTCTGTGAATGCTCATCGCTAGATTCAAATGAGAGAATTAGAACAAATAAAAGCCTGAAAATTCGCAAGTTTTTTGAATAACGGCAAGTACTCATTGCAAAATCAGATTTATCCACTGAGATTCACAGATTTCTTTCAAAATGCGTAGAAAAAGTTTTACTTTACTGATGTTAACTTCCTTGTCTTAAAACTCATCACCCTTGAAATGCATTTTTTATAAAGTAATACCCTTGAATTTATATATTTTGTATGGGTCCTTGAAAAATTTTTATGGACATCACATCTAATCCCCCTCCCTAAGTGTTCGTTTTGGTCGGGTACATATCCAGTCAAGACACTTCTCAATGGTGCTCTGCAGTAAATACTTCTTAACAAAAACAATGCCCTCAACACAAATCATAGTTAACTGCGCTTTCCTTGGAGGTTGCAACACTTGTCATATCGCATCTTTTCTACTTGGATATTCCAGTTGCTAACGTCCATCAGACAACAATTACATAAAATAATGCAGTAAGGCACAGCAAAACTGGTATCGAAACTCTTTTAATTGCGTTAGCATTTTAGTCTCAAAAACATCTCTGGAAGAAGCTAAAAAGGATCTGATGTGTCCGGAAGAATATCAGTCAAGTCTAAAACTGATGCCGCTTTATCACGCACAGTGTTGGAAGCACACTGATTATACTGAAGATAAACAGCAGGTGCTTTGGTTAGGGCATCCGGAAGTAATGGTTACAAAGTAAGATTAACTGAGCACTGTAAGTAGATCAGAAATGAAATTTATTCAAATTTGAGAACAAATTTACACATCGCAACTTCTGTTGCACTCTGTTCTTTCAAACTTTGGAAGAAAAGGTTTCAAGCATAAAAGTGAAACACTGGACGATAGAAAGTCCGAAGGCAAATGCGTAAATACGTCCCCGATGACACATCATTTTATTCATTTTACGTTTCAAAGAATTGTTAAAAGTAACGTTTTCTATTAACAGATGTTAATTAGTTTTCAGCATTTAGTCAATTAAATGTCAAAGGCGCTACACCTAAAAAATTTATTGAGCAAATTAAGGTAAAAAAATTTTGAAGGTAGTGAATGTATCGTTGACAAATAATTACTGGAAACTTGAGAATCAAGAGGCAAACAAATTATAGGCTATTTAGAACTAAAATAAGACTTCTAACTCAGTAATTATAACAGTTATAATACAGTAATGTAGATATAAATTAGTAAGGTCTGTAACAAATGATAAGTATGACAAATGTTTCAAATTGATCAAAAAGTAGACAAATACATAACCTACAAATCTTGAAATCTAAATTTAATAATACTGACGTAATTTTTTTGAAACTATTGTGGATGCTTTGCTATTAGTATCGTTAAATTTCAAAAAGTCGACTAAAAATTGTTCAGCTAATAAACGTTTAATTTAGATTTTAAAAAAGTCGAAAAAAATTTGAAATTGAGCCGCAGAAGTTAAAAATAATCACACGACAGGTTACTAAATAAAAGGTCGCGCATTCTGATAGTCCCAAAAAATTCAGCTGCTTCTCTTGTCGGCTTATTCTTCAAGTACCCTCTCTAAAAATAACTAACAACAGAGACTTTGATAACACACTGTACTACTTAATGCTGAAGAATGACTATTTAAAAGCTGCTTTTTTTTCTAACTGAATTACGGTTACCGCATAATCGAGAAGGTGCAAATCTTACCCAAACAACTGCAAACAGCGACATTGTATTGCCCAAACGAACTGCATAATCTTTGATACCGGATTCTTCAGTGTAATAGACATGTAACCCATGAAATATTTTTTCGCGCATCAGACGACATTTTCGCAATGTTTCAGCAGTAATATCGTCCAAACCTAGTCAAAGAGTTTTGATTACAGAATTTTAAGATGAAAAACAACAAATTAACAGATTCTTAAAAATTAAGGTACGAAACATGTTGATAACCGTAAAATCTGCCACGACTATTAATTAATTCCTTTCACCTTAACAGTTAATATCAGATAGTTCAAAAACAGTCGAAGCAAATATTGCTAAAAATCACTGCTTACCTTCAGAAAACAGTGTAAGACCTATTAGTGCAATAAATTCAGTTTCTGATATGTCTAACCTTTTTGCAATGTTCAGTGTTCCTGTATGATAGATAAAGAAATCTCTGAAAATCCTAAAAGAAAAACAGTATCTATAGAGATTCTAATGCACTTATGCTTCAGTATTTCTTGTAAAGTAGTCGCAAACACCTATGCTACTGATATAATTACTATCATATTAAATAGATGAAAACCACTTGATATTTGAATAAGTAGAAAATTCTTTCAAATTCCAAACCGGTGTACAGTTGAAGTAGGATAATTACATTGATTTCTTATTCTTCTGAGAAGCTTTTTAACCATTTATCTATTACAATTCAAAAGTTTTACTTTAAAAAACTTCAATTTACTTTTGAATGTTTTTTGCTGTTGAAGCGAACGAGGTATAAAATTCGTCTTCACGTTCCAGGTCTGTGTAGGTACAACAGGTTGTCCAGAGCATTGAATTTCTGCTGTTCCACGGAAAATATTTAATTGTATAAAAGTAGCACTGCAAACTGGCAAATAGCGGGACAAACGCAGAAAAAAGAATCCACTGAAAATAAAGGTAACCAACAACTACAAAGACAGAACTATTTGCGATAATAATTGTAAGAGACTTTTGAAATATTTCTTTCAACATTGGGGGAGACTTAGTAGGAGTACAGGGCAATTAAGCATTAAATACCATTCAAGTAAAAAATTATAGTAATATCGAAAAAAAAAGATTGAATATACCACACTTTCTGATCGCGAGGTAGTTCTCGAAACTGTTCAAAAGCAGTTAACGCAAATCGAGCTAATAACGGAACTGTAGAACCGATTAGCGCAGATAACTGGTTTACGGTCACAAATTCTAGCTCCTAGAAACTGGATAATTACCATTATACTAAGCAGTAAAAGCCAACATATAATCAGCGAATTAGGTCGTGATGATGCAAAAATGATTATACATAACCAAAGTTCTCATACGAAAACCAAAAAAAAAAAATATTTCTAAAAATTATTCTATTTGATTGCTCATTGCGAATATAAAATTAAAAAGAAGAATTTTTTAGAAGAAGTTTGTCATTATTGTTAGATTTGTCTTTAGTTGGTACTTGTAAATAATAAGGAATGATAAGAACCATACAGGAAGTCCATATGGGTCGCACTTTACATCAATGTGTAACTGTTCGTTCAGGAAAGTTTTTTCAATACATGTGCGAGCATCATGCATTTGATGATATTCTGAAAAAATTTAATAATAAAAGTTTTTTCAAAAAATTAATTTTTTTTATTGCCTATAATCTTCAAAATGATTAGTAAAAAGTTTTAGTGAGCTCAATGAAGTAAATAACTAATTATTTGACAAGTATGTTATGAGAGAGTAAATTCGCTAAACCCATCGCTTCTGAAGTGCAGCGACTTAACCTTGCCTGACGAAGTTTAAGATGGTGTGCGATGAGAGTGCTGTAACCATATATGGAGATGATCGGATTTTAAGATAATCATTTTGTAACGTTAAATTTTCGGACAAGTTATTTTCTTCCAAAATTGGTGGCTTTTCCTTTAAAATTTGTCAATTTTTAATTATCAACCACTGAAGTAAATAAATAAATTGCAAAAACTGAGAGAATCAAAACCTCTTGATAACTTGCCATAAGTGCTTTAAATTTAAAACTACATGTTTTTAAGAAAATTAATGATATAAAGCACTGCAAAATACCACTAAACTTTTCTTACAGGGCTACACTTTTCAGTATTTTATAAATTTCGTATTGAGTTTTATAAGAACAATGATTTCATAAACCTGAAAGACCCCTATAAAGTATTTTTGATGTTTAGTATTACAGTTTTTTCTGTCAAATAAATTTCATTAATAAACTTAGCAACCAATCTGTATGGACATATATAGCAATAATAATTTTTTTTTATTTCTATGACAAACCCAACTTCAAGTAAAGGTTATATTTTGCCAAACTCGACAAAAAAAGGCACGAAATTTGTGGACGACTCAATAAAAAAAATCTAATGGCACATGCTCATTTTATTGCTTGCATAGTTCCTTAATTCTATTATGGCAAACTAATCAAAATTTCCTAACTTCTTCTGAAGGCTTTTCTATTTCTTGCCTAGTAATCCGATGTACAGTTCAAAGTAGCTTGGGCAGTAAAACTGGAAGCATAGTAACTGAAAACTAACTCTGAGTTCCTTGACCTGATCTGACGAAGTGGGTTGAGAATTTGAAGCATCAAAGCTACTCTTCAGCGAATCCCGTTTTGGTTGAACTTCTTAAAATTATATTTTTTTATCTTTATTATAAAGCGCTGTTATCGAGTATGTTTTTGAAAAAAATAAGAATATGACAAAAAAAAGTAAATGCAAAACAACACTTTCAACTTGCATTCCACACCGAAGGCATTTTCGATAACGACAGCATCGGCATATATTACGAACAGCTGTAATTAATGAGTTTATTAAGTTCAAAGAGGTCAAAAATTTAACTTGATTAACAACAAATAAAAACTAATCAAACAATAATTATTGCCTGCATATTAAATGTTTATTTTATTCAGCGTAAATAACCTAAGTTTTGGTCTTAAAATAGTTTTCAGCAAATTGACGACAATGAGGATTATTCCTTTTTTTGGTATTCTTAACCAACTGACGCCAAAGCGGTTCAGCCCGACAGAAATTCTGTGCTATCCGCTTCTCGCTAAACTTTTTATGAAGTACGTCTAATTTTTTCATTTAAAGTTTTTTTTTGCTCATAAAAAGTCTAACTTACACATTCTAAAATATATTTTTGCGCTGTTTCAGCAAAATTATTTTTTTTTTTGAATTTTATTGTCTTTTTTTTACTGTTAAAATAAATTTATAGTTGAATTGCTAAGAGTTCAAAAGAGCGGTATAATGAAAGAAAAAGTCAGATGCTAAAAAACAGGTTAAATAAAGTGGTTATTACATGATTTATCAAATGTCTATGTTAAAGGAGGGTAAAAAAAGTTGAGGCTATTATAGAATGTACACAGATGTTTATATTTTTGATAGCGCAATACTCAAGGTTAATATTATTTCTCGTAAATAAATAGTGAAATTTTATAGACATAAATTTTTTTTTTTGCTAAATCATTTTTTGTTGCAATTCTTAAAATGATTTTTTTTAATTACACTTTGCAAAAAAACAAACGCTGATAAGGAATTTAAAATCTAAATAGCAAATTTAGTCTTGAAGTGATTATTCATTGCACAAATCAAATGCGATTAAGGAAACAAAAGCTCTGCACTTATTGGTAGCTAATAGTATTTTCAAATCGTACCTATCTCATTATTACCAACAGCAAACAAATTAATTAAGCTATCAACTGGTGGGTAACAGTAGCGGCATAGACAGTAACAGTAGAAAATCAAACTACATGAATATTACAACTGAATGACATTTACTTTTCCTTTACATTATAGCCTCTTTGTTGAACCAGTTACAGCAGAAGATTTATTCCTTTAAACAATCGCTTATACTAAAGCTTTTTTCAACAAATACAAAACCATCAAAATAGTCTCCTCTTTTTTTTTTCTTTTTTTGTACAACCTAATTAAATAAAAAAAAATTCTTAACAGAATGCAATCGCTCAAAAAAAAAGTTTTCCTTGTCTTTTTTTCTAGATAGTGAACACTGATTTGTGTAAATATTTTAGAAAGTGCACACAGATTTTCAACGATATTCAATTACAAGTTTCTATTCTCTTTCTTTTAAAAATTATTAAAAGCCAGCAGTTTATTTCCAGCCAGAAAAAAAAGTTTCAGTTATCCATCAGCAACAAACTATACTCGCCAACTGATTGTCACTTATCATTTTTGTTCACCACTATTTTGGCTTACATCTTATTGTCATCAAACAAATTGCACTCTAAAAAAACAAAACTGATTAGGGCAACAGAGATCGTTGAACTCGAAAAGAACTGCAAATTCTTCCTTATCTGGGCTTAAATTCTACAGCTTTTAAACCATATTAGACTATTACGACGTTTTATTTATATCATAAATTTATAGGAAGCTGACTGATGTTCACTTACAAAACGATATTTCACAGTCATTTTTTTCTTGACAAATGTATCCACGTTTACAGCTGACAGTACGACGAAAAAATGCTGCACAAGCCCGACATGCTTCAATACCAAAATGCATTCCGTTAGATGGAGCGTCACAAATATGACATTTTCCTTGTTCAGACATCACCAAAATTGATAAGTGCCAAAGCAATATTTGAAGTAAGCAAATAAAGTGTGATCAGCTTAATTACCTGAACAAAATACGTATTCATTATGCTTGAAATTGTTTAGCCAAACATACTTTAAATGTAACCCCAAAATCAATGAAGGAATTTCGTTTACCTTCTTTTTTTTTTCATCTAATTTTTTTTTGCTTGCCTACAACGACTGATAAAGAAATAAAAGGAAGAACAGTGTTAATACTATAGCTGCTATGAGAAGCTAAGAACAGAAATTGATCAAAGAAAGAGTAGCACTTTTCAGTCATTGTTTGATTAAAAAAAAAATTTTTTTTGTAACAGTATTAAAGAAAACGAAAAAAAAACAAAAAAAAAAAAAGAGCACTTGAGCACAAAAGTGGAACGTCAGAACATTTCACATCGTTGTGGTGATAAGCCTCAACAAAACGGCTCGTTGCTGAATCAATTTGTACAGTGAACGTAACACACAGGAATGCTGATCTTTGTTGAACAATGATTATCAGCAGGTGCTTTAAAGTCTGTTTAATAATCAGAAAATTAAACTTATTTTGGTGTTGCTACAATATTACAGAATTCAGCAATTGGCTTAGATGGTTTTCAGTATTTTACTTTACACCACTTTTATTGCACTGACGACCAGCATAATGTTTAATCAATGAACACTGCTTCAATTGTTTTTTAGTCGTTATGTTTTGGCAAGGTTTTCTGACGCTTCAAAAAGTCAACCGTTTTGCCGGTAAAATTTGCTGCTCTGTCTGTAATTTAGTCGTCTTCAAAAAACGATCAAAAATAGGTGCAATAACTGCCGAAGTATAACTGAAGCACTACTGTGAAAAAAATCTAAATAATTAGCATAGAATACTGCCATCTACTCTCCGCTTCTCCTAGTTGCCACTGAAATAGTAGCAATTTAATATCTTTTTAAAGCAAATTTTCACAATTTGCAAGACTCTTGCTACTCAACTTGCCTGAGACACCAAAAAAGAAAGAAAAGAAAAAATAGACTTGAGCAAAAAATACCTTGCTTTCACTTTTCCTTCTTTTTCTGCTTTATTTGCTAAATATTTAAATGGTTATCAATGGAGAACCAATGAAAGATAAACAAAATTATAAATAAAAGAAAAAAAAATGCGAACAAAAAGATTAA